AAAAAAAAAATGAAATATATCACCCGCTCCCTGCAGTTGGCCATAAATCGAAATGGATTTCGGAAGAAACATTGTTGAGTACTTGAAACTCTTAAAACCAGAAAATTTATGACATTTGTATCAAAGACTGGCTAAGTCACCATTACAGTGAGTGGCCATTACAATTTTTTGTTATTATCGTATTTTTTTTAATTCGATATGGAATATTTTGATCAGCTGTTGGAAACGAGGGTAAAACATCTGCAATATAAATCCAGAATAACGATAGGAGGGCTAGGATTTTAAGCATTCACTCACTTTCCCATATTGTGTCCAGCTCCTCCCTCCCCAGGAGGCCGAGACTTACGTCTATACACTTAGGGATGTTAGTCTCTTTGTTATAACAGGGATCAATAATGAAGGGACTATCCTTACCCCTTAGGACTATTAAACACTTGTAATAATAGAAAGCAGTAATGGTTCCGTCCTTAAACCTATGTATGGACTGAGGATTATCCTTACCCCTGAGGACTGAGTCTCTTGTTATTAATAGAAACCAGTAATGGTCGCGTCCTAAAACCTATATATAGGACTGAGGCCTCCATTACCCCTGAGGACTACTAGTCTTTTATAACAGAAAGCAGTAATGATCCCGCTCATGAACCTTTATATAGGACTGGGGGCAATCCTTACCCCTTAGGACTATTCGTTTTGTTATAACAGAAAGCAGTAATGGTCCCGCCCATTATATTATATAGGGGGTCGCGGTGGCCAAGTGGCTAAGGCGTAATGTCATTAATCACTATATCCCTCCACCTCTGGGTCGCGTGTTCGAGGCTCACGTGGGGCAGTTGCCAGGTACTGACCGCAGGTCGGTGGTTTTCCCCAGGTACTCCGGCTTCCTCCACCATCTAAACCTGGCACGTCCTTAAATGACCTTAGTTGTCGATAGGACGTAAAACAACAATAAACCAAATATTATATAGGACTGGGGTGGCTATCCTTACCCCTTAGGACTATTCGTTTTGTTATAAATAAGAAAGCAGAAATGACCCCGCCCATTAACCTTTATAGGACTGGGGGCTTCATACATCTTAGGACTAAAAGGTTTCTTTGTTATACCAGAAAACAGTAATTTCCCTCACAAATTATTTCCATGGTTATCACAATGTTTTAATTTAAACTACGACATGACTATGGCGAGACTCTCTTTAGCTGTAAGAACTCACAAATGTTCTGTTATTCCCGTGAAAAGAATGAGATATCAACACGACAAGAGTACAATAAGATTTGTATGGCCACACTGGGTCGCACAAAGGGACAAACATGTACTATTTCTCGTGTGTGTATACGCTACAGTCACAACATACATCTTAAAGGTATGTTTAAAACATAAAGGAATTCTTATTTCTTCAAGTTTTACACTTAGTACATGAATATATGAGAAAAATGTCACTTACATGTCGGTTTCGCAGCAGGTGTTTTCTGAATGACCAGTCTCGTGCCCAACGCTTAACATTTTGTCGCAGCACTGAGCAGATTTCACAATAGTCCAAGCTCATTGCTTGTCCCTTTTCTTTAACGTTTTCATTGGTCAATACAATCTTGGGACGCAAAATTCTTGCACGTGCCTGACGCACAGCTCAGGTGTACACTGTGTTATTGAAACAATAAAGCGCCCCAGGAAAGCCTGGTTCTTAAATTTATCTAAAAAAAAACACACATTGGACGCAAAGATGAAAATTTCAAGAGTTTGATGACGATGATATCGATATATTTTTGTTTTGTAATTTATTGGTGTGATAGGGCGTGGAAAACGTGATGGCCTGAGTGAGCTGACCGGTGTTTGTGTGGTGGTAATAATTTTTTCTAATTACGGATATTAAGGAATGTTTTTCTGAAATTTGAAACCTAGTAAGTGTGCATGAGGAACTTTTTAATGTAATTGGACCAAAAATTTTTGTACAAGATATGCAATAGTTTGAATATTGACAAATTTGTGATTTGTATACCTGAGTGTAAGGTGACCTATTCTAAATAAAGTCACGTCGACATTATCGATAATATTGAGCACTGCACGGACTTCGATATACTTTTATTTGTATGGTAGTCAGAAGTTTATGATGAGTGCGTCGAAGGACGATTCGTGTCTGCGTATTACAGCAGGCCCTAGTTTTTGCAACCCCTGTTAGCGAACATTTGAAAGACAAACGGAAACAAATGTCCAGTCCGCTGTCCCCCGAGATAGTAGAAAATAAGCGTGCTGACCTAGGATCGACTAGTAATGATGATTCGATGTTTACGTCAGGATTCATGCACGATTTTGCGCAGATGCTTGCTCCAACCATAGCAACAATGGTCTCTAATTTAATTGAACAGTCGCTTACTCACACTATCCAGCCCCTCATACAAAGTGCAGTGTAATTCTGTCATTAACAATGATAGCCAACTGAGTAGTATAGTCACCAAACATGTAAATGACGACGTAACTCCACTCATTGACCGTATCCAAAATCAAGCATCAGAATTGAACTTACTAAAATCCAAGATAGGAGAACTCGAAATGGAACTAGAAGACCAACAGCAGTACTCTAGACGTACCGCCCTGATCACAATGTCCCTGTCCCCAGGGGAGATATATCGTCATTCGATACTCATGATGCAGTTATAAACATTGCCCGCGAAATCAAAGTAAACCTTACTCGAGATGATTTATCCAGGTCTCATATTCTTGGAGGTATAAGGAATGGCACGACAACGATAATTGCGCGGTTTGTCAGATACTCTGACCGACACAAGGTCTTCCAGAACAAAAAACTTTGTAAAAATCTCAAAGACAAAATATGTATAACGGAAAGTCTAACCAAGCCAAGATCTGCCCTTGTCGGTCGGTTAAATAAACTGCGACAAGACAACCACATCCATTCACTATGGACAATGGACGGACGAATATTTTACAAAACCGGGGAAAATATCAAGCCTTGATACTGTCATACATGTATATTTTCCAACCGTTGTCCTTTCCGTGTCGATTCTCGGTCAGGACGTCAAAATTCTACAGGTAAAATGTCGGTATATCTGCTACTGCATGTTGTACTTTATTTTTGTTCAGTGACTGATTAGTTATATTTAAATTAATAAAAAAACAGTAAAAAAATAACCTTTCTATAATGGCGACAGCGTCAAATAAAACGCTCGAACTTCGTCGAAGACAAGCATAAAAAAAATCGTCGTTTTCATAGGCGTGTATAGTATACACGTGTGTTATTGTATACATTTCAATAGTGTTGGTTATATGACAAAGGGGTGATTTTATGATGTTATATTACAAAGTCAGTATCAGAAATTATTATTACAAATTTGGTCGATTTCTGATGTTAAGATTAATAATTTAGTATGCGTCTGAAGATTAGTATTAGTTTGGTGCTATATTACGAATTAAGTATTTGTCTGAAGTTATATTACAAACTTGGAATTTGTATGTTTGTTATATCTGTTCTCCACCACACTACCTGATACTCCTATGATATCCATGTGTTCTCTTTACATTTTCCTATTTTATTTTCCTTTATCTCCTATCTTAAGACTTTTCTGTTCTTATCTCCTCTATGTTATACTCAATACTGGGTATATTGTCAATAGTCTGACAAACTGTAAAACTTTGGTGGATGGAACTGGTGGCTACTCTTTTACATATGTAACTTTTGATGACCATGGGTAATGAATTAGCACAGTATAGAGTGGCTATTGGTTGCTTCTACCAACGTACACACGGTATATTAACTATATTGTTTTTTCATCTCTATTTCTATTGGTAAAATGTTAAAAAGATGATGCGTATCATTAATACATTATTATTAGCCATTTATTTTACTCTTTTTTCCATGTATCTGAGGATCCAATAAACTTGAACTAGAACTTGGAAAGTAATGTAAACCTTTTTAAAATTTCTCTTCTATTTGCAGAAGTATACAAATATTTGACATTATGAGCAAGTCCTATAGGCTCTCTGTATAAACCCCAGGATGTCAACACCTGTGGTCAGTAATATGGATCTTATATGAGTGTTTATGCATTTTCATTAATTCAATACATGGATTGTGTAGATTGCTATGCATTCTCAAAAATGCAGTGAAGACATTCTTTGATATCCGTTTATCTGTTTTTCACAGTTGACCTTTCATTTTTCCAGTTTTTTATTGTCAGAAGACAAGTAATGTATTGTTAACGCCCTTTCCTTATAACATAGAATCTATACATCATAATGTCTAAAACAATTTGAATATAATTAACATACTATTGTAATGAGATAGGGTTTCCTTCATTTTATTATGTATATGACACAGAAACATGAAATACACACATTCAGGCTATCCATGTAGAACTGTCAAATAAATTTAGTCATGCCATTGGAACCAGCCAGCTCACTTGTCACAGTGATATAACACGATTACAAGTTTGTTTCCATTGTGATTTTTTTTTTTTAGATTACCAAAGATTACAAATGGTCATCCATGGTCGTGATGGTTCCAGGCAGGAGAACACTGGATGACTGAAACAAGGACGAATAAAAAAATGAAATAAATACCAGGGACGTATAATACAATGTATCATACGTTCAGTACAGAACACCTTTCATGGAAACCAAATTCTATTATTTTCTAACAGTGAAACTATGACTATATGTATGCATCAAACTCTGACGGAAAATATAACTACGACTTTTTAATGGCCAGCGAAGATTCAAATAAATGTGGGTGGGCGGGTTTCATTTGTGGTAAAATATCAAACACCATATGAGGTGTATAAAACTAAACAAAACATTAATTTGGCAATAGCATAGCGTTGTAATAAATGCATTACCACGGTAATCAACAGGGAATTAATTGCTGTCGTAACATTTCACTGTATTCGGTTTAAAATATTCGCGGCAAATCAATTTTGCATACGGAAGTGAGTGAGATGCGCAATCGCAGTAAAAATACGAAACTAAAGATAAATTTTAGAAGCTGACTAAAAAATTCAGAGCTGCAGAATGTCACATTCTTATACTTCAAAATGGCAGCTCCCATACGAGTTCCGGGGTGCTGTCGGTATTTCCAAGTAGCGATTTTATTGACACTGTTTATTTTGCATACACATTCTGAATCGGTAAGAACCTTTCCTCTGTGCTGGCACTCTCCGCTATTGTTAATGTTTAATAAATCATTCGCTTTGAGAAATTCGCTTTTCAGATTGCCAACGTATCGACGATATTGTGAAGTTACCGGATTTGACGAAAACATTTCCTTCCCGGTCGATTACGATATAATAAGTCCCCAGTATTTTTATTTAGTTAGTTAGTTATTTATTCATTAAATAACGCGTTTTACGTCCAGTATTTAGGTACCTTAGTTATATTTTCGGGTGGTACGTATTCCTGTCAGTTTTGAACGATAATGCATAATTGTTTTATTCAATAAATTATTGTGATTTACACTCGTAATTAACAACCTTAAGAGTTCATGATTTTTCTCCACTTTACGTGAAAAACTGGTTCATATTAAATACTACCGGTTATTAGTAGGACTTCAACATTTCAGGTCAATCCGGATGAATTTTTCACCAGTGGCCATACAAACAATTGGGCTGTGCTTGTGGACACCTCCAGATTCTGGTTCAACTACCGCCATGTGGCTAATGTGTTGTCCATCTACAGAAGTGTCAAACGTTTGGGCATCCCTGACAGGTCAGTCTCCATATACATGTTACTATACAACTACCCATGGGTGTAAAACCTGAGCCTGATCTTATTAATGCTGAATTTGCTTCATCATGTTTTTGTGTATGATAAATATCTATGGCTTTAACAGTGGATATCTCCATCAGCAATATAATTTTATTTCATCAATTTAATGCTTAATATAGCTGTAACTGTTATATATTGATTAATTGATGATTAATGATTCATTGTCTTTTTCAATTCCAAAATTTATTAATGAATTTGAATTCCACTTGATCATTGAATACATCTCTGTGTATTGTTGTTACCTTCTTTTCATTAGAATTCAATACTTGATGTGATATGAAAGCATATCTTCTTCAACAGTCAAATTATCCTGATGGTAGCTGATGATATGGCCTGTAATCCCCGCAATCCACGACCAGGTAGGTACCACATAAGCTGTGACCATGGAAGTACCTTGAAATCCTCAGCCAGTTAGGTATCTCACAATCCAGAGCAAGGAAGGTAACTCACTTTCCTCAGCCAGGAAGATGCCTCTCAATCCTCCTCGAGATACATACCTCACAATCCTCCACTAGGTCTGTACCTCACAATCCTTCACTAGATATATACTTCTCAATCTTCCACCATGTGGGTACCTCACAATTATCCACACCTCACAGTCCTCCACCAGTTACCACAGTCCTTGGACACGTAGGTATATCACAATTCACTGCTAGATAGGTCAAGTTAGTTGTCAAAATGTTCAATCATCTCACTGATATTTTATTAATGATGGTGATTTTGTTCTCTCTCATTATGATTAAAAACTCTTTTTTGTTGTAGCAACTGTCTTCAATAATGCCAACCAGCAAATCAATGTATATGGAGATGATGTGGAGGTGGATTACAGGGGATATGAAGTAGGTGGCTGTGCTTTACCCTAGATTTTATATTTGAATTAAGTTGCTTTGTCTTACTACAAAGTTTATATAAGATGTACTGAGACTTACTACAATAATTATACAGGAGTTACAGTGCTCCAGATAGCCTGCGTGAATGCGTTTTCACGCACAATATTTCTAATTTCACGCTAGGAAAAAAAAAAGATTTGCGTCATTAACCCGTGCGAAATCCGGACTCTGCGTCAATGTCCGGCTCCAATATTACGTAGTTAGAAAACTCAATAATCTAAGTCAAACAGACACTTATCAAGTAAACGAAACTCGTAACAAGCGCTTTCTTGATCGTGATTATAAACCAGTCGCATAGCAAATATGGCGCTGTCAAAAATGTTTACAAATTCAGTGTTACCCTAATATGGAAAAACCCATACACTTGATGAAGGCAGGGGTGAAAAAACCCCTCAATTTATAAAGGTAGGAGTGAAAACCCCACATGTCAAAAAGTTATCTGGAGCACTGAGTTAGATGACTGTCTGTTAATACATAGTTTATTATACAAACAGAAAAGTTCATTACATGTTTTTTGAGAAGAAATCAAATTCCCTTCTTGTTGTGTTTATCAGGTTACGGTTGAAAACTTCATCCGTGTTCTCACAGGACGACTGCCACCAAGTACACCTCGATCAAAACGCCTACTGACTGATGAGAGGAGTAACGTTCTTGTTTATATGACAGGTATGACAAACTTCACATTGCCACAATAAAATACCCACTGCAGAATACACACCTGTCACCACAGATACACCCATCACCACAGATACACACCTGTCACTACAGATACACAAGTCACCACAGATACACACCTGTCACCACAGAAACACAAGTCACCACAGATACACCCATCACCACAGAATACACACCTGTCACCACAGAATACACATCTGTTAACACAGATACACACCTGTCATCACAGAATACACATCTATCACCATAGAATACATACCTATCACCACAGAATACATACCTATCACCACAGAATACACACTTATCGTAACAGATACACACCTGTCACCACAGAATACATACGTATCACCACAGATACATACCTATCACCACAGAATACACACCTATCACCACAGAATACATACCTGTCACCACAGAATACATACCTATCAACACAGATACACACCTTTCACCACTGAATACTAACCTATCACCACAGAATACAAACCTATCAACACAGATACATACCTATCACCACAGAATACACATCTGTCAACACAGAATACACACTTATCGTAACAGATACAAACCTATCACCTCAGAATGCATACCTATCACCACAGAATACATACCTGCCACCACAGAATACATACCTATCAACACAGATACACACCTGTCATCACAGAATACACATCTATCACCATAGAATACATACCTATCACCACAGAATACATACCTATCACCACAGAATACACACTTATTGTAACAGATACAAACCTATCACCTCAGAATGCATACCTATCACCACAGAATACAAACCTATCACCTCAGAATACATACCTATCACCACAGAATACACACTTATCATAACAGATACACACCTGTCACCACAGAATACACACCTATCACCACAGAATACATACCTGTCACCACATACCTATCAACACAGATACCTACCTATCACCACAGATACACACCTTTCACCCCAGAATACAAACCTATCACCACAGAATACACATCTGTCGACACAGATACACACCTATCACCACAGATACACACAGGTCATGGCATTACATGCAGGTAAAGGCATTACATGTCTAACTGATGTTTTGGTACAGGTCATGGCATTAAATATCTGACTGATGTTTTTGTGCAGGTCAAGGCATTACATATCTGACTGATGTTTTGGTGAAGGTCAAGGCATTACATATCTGACTGATGTTTTGGTGCAGGTCAAGGCATTACATGTCTGGTGTTTTGGTGCAGGTCATTGCATTATATGCCTTATTGATGTTTTGGTGCAGGTCATGGCATTACATGTCTGGTGTTTTGGTGCAGGTCATGGCATTACATGTCTGAGTGATGTTTTGGTGCAGGTCATGGCATTACATGTCTGGTGTTTTGGTGCAGGTCATGGCATTACATGTCTGGTGTTTTGGTGCAGGTCATGGCATTACATGTCTGAGTGATGTTTTGGTGCAGGTCAAGGCATTACATATCTGACTGATATTTTGGTGCAGGTCATGGCATTACATGTCTGGTGTTTTGGTGCAGGTCATGGCATAACATGTCTGGTGTTTTGGTGCAGGTCATGGCATTACATGTCTGAGTTATGTTTTGGTGCAGGTCAAGGCATTACATGTCTGGTGTTTTGGTGCAGGTCATGGCATTACATGTCTGATTGATGTTTTGGTGCAGGTCATGGCATTACATGCAGATCGAGGTATTATATGCCTTACTGGTGTTTTTGTGCAGGTCAAGGCATTATATGCCTTACTGATGTTTTTGTGCAGGTCAAGGCATTACATGTCTGGTGTTTTGGTGCAGGTCATGGCATTTCATGTCTGAGTGATGTTTTGGTGCAGGTCATGGCATTACATGCAGATCGAGGTATTATATGCCTTACTGGTGTTTTTGTGCAGGTCAAGGCATTATATGCCTTACTGATGTTTTTGTGCAGGTCATGGCATTACATGTCTGGTGTTTTGGTGCAGGTCATGGTAGTATATGTCTTACTGATGTTTTTGTGCAGGTCATGGCATTACATGTCTGGTGTTTTGGTGCAGGTCATGGCATTATATGCCTTACTGATGTTTTTGGGCAGGTCAAGGCATTACATGTCTGGTGTTTTGGTGCAGGTCATGGTAGTATATGTCTTACTGATGTGTTGGTGCAGGTCATGGCATTACATGTCTGGTGTATTGGTGCATGTTTGAATCATTATATGTCGGACTGGTGTTTTTGTGCAGGTCATGGTGGAGATGGTTTTCTGAAGTTTCAAGATGCTGAGGAAATTTCCAATGTAGAGTTGGCTGATGCTTTTGAACAGATGTGGCAGAAGAGGAGGTAGGTTATGACATGTTATGCTGTATGCTCTCTGTTTAAATATCACAATAAACAATATCAGAGAACACCAAAGAAATACTTTAATATCTGACCTACTAACCTGTACATCAGAATCAACACTTTCAGAGTGGATCAAAGCAATACTGCTATCAGTTTTCAAAAAGAATGTGAAATGAATTAAAACAATTAAGTCTGGCAACAAAAATTTAATTGACTGATCCTTATCAAAGAAGATTGAGTCAAGAATTTTGATGAAAAAGAAAATTATATTGCAATCACAGAGTGTTTTCATTCATTGAAGATTTTTAATACAATGTGCTTTTGTTATCATTGAAAAATTCTCATCTTGCAATGATAATCTTCCTATTTTGGACTATTCCATTATTGCTGGGTATTACTATATGTACTGCTATTATGGACTATTCCATTATTGCTGGGTATTACTATATGTACTGCTATTATGGACTATTCCATTATTGCTGGGTATTACTATATGTACTGCTATTATGGACTATTCCATTATTGCTGGGTGTTACTATATGTACTGATATTATGGACTATTCCATTATTGCTGGGTATTACTATATGTACTGCTATTATGGACTATTCCATTATTGCTGGGTATTACTATATGTACTGATAAATAAGCACAAGAAATACTTAAGCCAAACTTGTGTCTCATCCTTCCTTGTTCAATATAACAGAGATTATGAAATCTTGAGTATGAATTTGGATTTCTAGATAACATATTGACACCATTTTGCTGATGATGCTGTGTATGTGACATAGGTACCATGAGCTGTTCTACATGATTGACACCTGCCAAGCAGAGTCTATGTTTCACAAGTTTTACTCCCCAAATATCTTGGCTGTGGCCAGCAGTAAGATTGGAGAGGACTCATTATCGGTAGGTTACTAATAGTCATGTCATTCGTGATAACACCTGCATCATGATTTATAAACAACCTGTTTATTGTTAAGACATTGACTATGGAGATTTTTATTGTCAGAATATTGTACAATGATGGATCCCATTATATCATCCTTATGTTGGTTATGTGGGGTTATTTTTACAACTAGGCCCTATCAGGCTTATAGAAATCACTCTCTTTTGCTAACTATCATAGTGACTTATGAGTATAAAGAAAATAAGGTGCTGACATTCCTATTGGTTTGGCAGTACTAATGAAGTATTCATTGAGCATCAAATTCCATATCTTATCCATGTATAAAGAAATGGTTTGTCCCTCTTTTTGCTGAGAGCCAGATGACAAAGTCAAAGTCAAAAGTTTTTTGATATGGTGGTAAATGAGTTTGCAATAATGCAGAAATATCCATGTGCATCCTGGATACTCCAGAGGTTACGATTACTTTCACTCTCTGCACCCTGGAACATCATGGCAAAATCAAAGGCACAAGTGAAGTAATTTGTTTGGTTCAAGGAGAAAAAGCTGACCAATCACAGGCTGAAACACTCCTTTTGAATATTACAAAGGAGACGCCCTACTTCAAAGCCAATACAATATACCATTATGCAACCTCGAGATTCACTTGATGTACATCAAAGAATCAAGCTTGTCTTTTCGACTTGTTCACAAGGTGTCACATATGGAACCTTAAATTTTGTCATGACTTGTTCCAGGGGTGAAGAGAGAGAAAGTGATGTTAACCCTGGAGAATTGAGGTTGGTGTAGATGTATCACATACTTATGTCTGTGTTTAAGGGTGTGAATGAGGCTGTGTGTTTAATTGATATACATTATTAATTGAGTTACCTCCCTTGTTTGATCACTTTCTCGAGGATGATCCATGTCATACATATTCTCTTGGCCTCATACACTTTATTTATATATATATATGTATACAGTAATATTTATATATATATATATGTGTATACAGTAATATTTATATATATATATATATATGTATACAGTAATATTTATATATATATATATGTATACAGTAATATATATATATGTATACAGTATACAGTGTAAATAATGCTCAGTGTTTAGAGTGCTAAACCTACCTTGATTTATGTCAAACATTTTTTATATTTTAATCACCATCTTACATACAACAACTTGGAATGGTTTTCTGTCCGCTATAAAGGGCATTCGGTGTCCATAGGACGAAGGGATTATCGGGACACCTAAATTTACACCACTGTTCTCGATTTAGATTGATAATAAAGGGACAGGTCGCCTAAAAAATTTTACTATTCACTTGTCCATACTGTTGCTATTACTATTATTATATTTTGTCACTTAACTTAAGGTGTATGAGGAACAAGGATATGTACATAACATCCAGGAATGATTCTGTAAGAGGAAACATGATATAATTTGCCTTATAATAATGTCTGTTTTGTTGATAGTTACAACCTTGTGTATTGTATTCGCAGCACCATGTAGACCCGACCATTGGTGTATTTGTGATTGATAGATATACTTACTACGCACTAGAGTTTCTAGAGTCGGCTAAACCTGAGAGTAAGAAGACTATGGGACAATTTGTAAGTCAAGCTCATTTCATTCACAAACATAAAGATAGGGTCATTGACATCATATCTGGTATTCTCAGAAGCAAACATCATGTTCTTTTTGTCAAATGTTATACATTTAGCATTCTCATGATTTAATTCAGTTTCCCATCACGAGAATCAAATGTATTAAAGAGATTGTTTGATAATAATATGAAATCGTTCTCATCATCAATTCCTTGAAATTTGATTGGTTTTTCTTAGGTTAAATTTCTAACCCCTTTGATACATTGTGAAACCAGCATGGTAGTGTATTGTGTACAGCTGAGAGTGTGTCCCCAGTGTTTTTCTAGTGTAATACACATTATTATTATAATGAACATTTCTTTGTACAGCTGAAGGTGTGTCCTCGTTCCCAGTGTTCATCTACAGTGAGTACCCGTACAGACTTGTTCCCTAGGGATCCAGACAAGGTTCTTCTCACTGACTTCTTTGGCAGTGTTCGTAATGTAGAGCTCCTCACAGACATAATCCTGTTGGGCAATGTTACAGGGGAGACAACCCAGCATTGCAGGTACTTTAGCGTGAACACGAGTGAAACCATTCAGAATCAGTAATTGATCAGAAAAATCAGTACAGATTAGATATTATCTACATTTATGTTTTACTGTAAAGTGTAGTAACATAAACAAACAGTTTGATTACTATTTACTGAAATTGTTTTGTCCTGCAGACTGCTGTGGCTTAGTGAATGATTTCATATTAAATTTAGTTTAAGAAATAAAAATTACAAATGTAAGTAATGTGACATTATATTCTGTTACAAAGTATAATTATAACATGTATCAGGATTTTCCCTTCCTTCTACATTACCAACAAAGGGCATTTACCCTAAGAATGACTTCTGTTGTTTGTGGAGGCCAATAGGACACATATTGTTTCAGTTATATTTAGCTTGTTTGCTTGTTCGACAGTAAAGACACGTGTGTTGAGGAACAGACACAGAAGCTTGTGTATGCTGACCAGTTTCCTATGCCAATCTGAGGATATTGGTCAATCTTTTGGACATCGGACTGAAGATTCATGAGGGCTGACTTGTTCTTCCGGCAGCCGGACGATATTGGTGAAATTTGTTGACATCGGACTGAAGAGTTATAAGGGCTGACCTTTGCCAGCCTGAGGGTATTTTTAAACTTCATGGACATCAGACTGTATATGTATGAGGGCTGACCCTTTTCCTGCAAGCCTGAGGGTATTTGTCAACTTCGTGGAAATTGGACTGAAGGTTTATAAAGTCCGAGTTGTTTCCTCTGCCAATCTGAGGGTAAAGGTCAACTTTGTTGGCTTCAGACTAAAGATTTATGAGGCCTGAGCTGTTTCCTCTACCAATCTGAGGGTAAAGGTCAACTTTGTTGGCTTCAGACTAAAGATTTATAAGGCCTGAGCTGTTTCCTCTACCAATGAGGGTAAAGGTCAACTTGTGGACATCGGACCAAAACTTATGAATGCTGACCTGTTTCCTACGTCATTCTGAGGGTATTGGTCAGCTTTGTCAATATGGAACTTATGCTGACCAGTGTCTTATGCCAGTCTGAAATTAATGATCAACATTAAAGACATAAATTTCCAAGTCTATAAATGGTCACAGAAAATCTTTAAATAATGATTAAAGAAAGTGATTGATGTGTTGCATGATGTACAGGTATCGACATTTTCCCCTGTGACGTCAATTCTACTTATTTTCATAAGCAATGTTTAGGAGGCCATGTACATCAAACAACTATATCAAATAAGCATCTCCAACATGATAAAACAAGAGGTCAAGATTGCTATTTAACCTGACAGTTTGAGCTTCAGAGTAACTGACACGATGCGGTGATAATGATTCTAGCAACATATCCAATTTAAGTATACAGTCTGTATATTTTAATAAATGTTCAGGAGAATTTCTTAATTAGCCTTTTATTTCTACATCTACATGTGACAATTTTTATACAACTGATGACAATGTCATCCTTTTTTTTTTCTTTGTTTTTGTACTCACTTCAGTGATGGGTACATTTTTTGCAATTTTTTTTCCAGATTTTGTTTTTTTTAAATAAAAATCCTTTAATTTAAACATGGCGTTTGTTAAATGTAATATTTGTTTCAGTAGATGGATTGCTAATGATAATTGTATCATTTATCATCATTTCAGATGCTCTGGGGTAGCTGTTTAGACCCTAGTCTATTGTCTAAAACTGTTCGCTGGGAACCTGCTGGTCATAGGGAATTATTGGTCATGATAGAACAGTTGATTATGCTGTGAATTTACCTGGATAAGACACCAATCGATCAGTTTTAGCTGAATTCTCGATTCATTTTTAATAAGAGTTTCCCTAATTAGTGGTGATAATTTGTTACTGGAAAAATCTTAAAAACTAACTTTTTTTTTGCCAGTTTTATTTTCTAATCACAAAATGTGATATTGGTGACTGCTGATGTGAACCCTGCTACTTTTTTACTTTTTGCTATTGTGAATTTGCCTCAGGGTACTGGTTTTTCTGGGGATTGCCAGTAAGCAAAACATGAGAAAAAAACCTTATGCAGGTGTTAGAGTAACATTTTGATATGTGCAAGGTCTCACCTAGGTGATCCCACATCCCAAATTTTAAGTTACCCAATGCAGCCAATTTACAAATGGGGAATCATCACTCTATTAGTTTGAACTTCTGTGGTTAGGAAAATTGTGTAAAGGATTGTTCGAGACATCCTTGTTCAACACATAGACATCACCAATTTATTTTCAGAACATCAATATGGATTGTATGCCAGTAAATCCTGTGCAACTAATCTATAAGAAGTGTTAGAACATCGAGCATCACTATTGTTTTAGTGATATGCATCAGTGACTGGTCGTGACAAAAGTACTTTTTTACAGCATAAAGGATATTGTGGAAAACAGACAAGATGGATTATTCCATACAAACACGACTGTTTGGAATGAAAAAAAGTGGGAATTCTTGCTAGAGGTACATTTCAAAACGTCTGTTGTGTCAAATAATGATCAGTATTATTGTTGATAAAAGATTGAATACAATTGTCGTTCATTTTACTCGTGGAATCAGGCCAGTGTGGCTTGTGTCCCACCTCCAGCCAGTGTGGCTTGTGTCCCACCTCCAGCTGTTTTGTGTATTGCCTTACTAGTGGAATCTCCCGCCAGTGTGCCTTGTGTCCCACCTCCAGCTGTTTTGTGTATTGCCTTACTAGTGGAATCGGGCCAGTGTGGCTTGTGTCCCACCTCCAGCTGTTTTGTGTATTGCCTTACTAGTGGAATCGGGCCAGTGTGGCTTGTGTCCCACCTCCAGCTGTTTTGTGTATTGCCTTACTAGTGGAATCGGGCCAGTGTGGCTTGTGTCCCACCTCCAGCTGTTTTGTGTATTGCCTTACTAGTGGAATCGGGCCAGTGTGGCTTGTGTCCCACCTCCAGCTGTTTTGTGTATTGCCTTACTAGTGGAATCGGGCCAGTGTGGCTTGTGTCCCACCTCAAGCCAGTGTGGCTTGTGTCCCACCTCCAGCCAGTGTGGCTTGTGTCCCACCTCCAGCCAGTGTGACTTGTGTCCCACCTCCAGCTGTTTTGTGTATTGCCTTACTAGTGGAATCGGGCCAGTGTGGCTTGTGTCCCACCTCCAGCTGTTTTGTGTATTGCCTTACTAGTGGAATCGGGCCAGTGTGGCTTGTGTCCCACCTCCAGCCAGTGTGGCTTGTGTCCCACCTCCAGCTGTTTTGTGTATTGCCTTACTAGTGGAATCAGGCCAGTGTGGCTTGTGTCCCACCTCCAGCTGTTTTGTGTATTGCCTTACTAGTGGAATCGGGCCAGTGTGGCTTGTGTCCTACCTCCAGCTGTTTTGTGTATTGCCTTACTAGTGGAATCGGGCCAGTGTGGCTCGTGTCCCACCTCCAGCTGTTTTGTGTATTGCCTTACTAGTGGAATCGGGCCAGTGTGGCTCGTGTCCCACCTCCAGCTGTTTTGTGTATTGCCTTACTAGTGGAATCGGGCCAGGGTGGCTTGTGTCCCACCTCCAGCTGTTTTGTGTATTGCCTTACTAGTGGAATCGGGCCAGTGTGGCTTGTGTCCTACCTCCAGCCAGTGTGGCTTGTGTCCCACCTCCAGCCAGTGTGGCTTGTGTCCCACTTCCAGCTGTTTTGTGTATTGCCTTACTAGTGGAATCAGGCCAGTGTGGCTTGTGTCCCACCTCCAGCTGTTTTGTGTATTGCCTCTATTAGGAACGACTTATAGATGTTACATTTGCTTTCTGTACTTTTTGCCTATGTTTAGTATATTCCGAGACAAATGAATAAGTGGATAATTTACTAGGTCAAGTGACTTCTTGTCAGTTTCATTTTTCACAGTAAGTAAATTAATTTGCTTATATTCTTTCTTATAGATATAACGTATATCGGCAAAAATCCATGAAGTTCTTTGGAAAAGGTTGGAATAATTTGGGACAAACTGTGCCCAGTCCCTTGTATATATTTTGTTTATCACCGATTCAAATAAAATATGTTTATATTAAATCTCATTTGAGGTTTTTCCAACTGTGCTAAACGATATAGGAATGCCTCCATTATGGAACAGCCAACAATGCTACAGGACAAAGGTAACGTCTTTGGTGTCAAACCAATTCTTGTTGCTGCTATTGAAAGTTTTTGATTGCTCTTTCATATGTAGGTTCTCAATTGTTTTAAAAAGATAAATTATGGTTCCTAATAGATCTGGTCATAAAAAATTCAAATGGCTGAAACCAATATGAACCCAATAAGATTATGCCATCATTGTGTGGGCATAGATTCCTCTGGGATCCGGTTCCTTTTTGTCTTTGCTATAATTTTTGATGTCCTCACAGTGAAGGTCAGGATATAGGGATGTACATGCTACATTAGTTAGGGATTTTGACCAAATTTCACTTTTATAAAGGACCATCTTACCAGAGTCAAGTTTGTATATCAGGGTTCTATCATCAAGGTCAACAGGTCAATCATTTTAAATCAGTCACTGCTCTTGCAGCACTATTTCCTAGAGATTTCAATCAAAATTCACACACAAATGAATTACAATATCAGAAACAAATTTTAATTTCAAGGTTAAGGTCACCATGAATATTTTCAGGAAATCCATGCCAGCACTCTAGCAGCTGAATTACAATGGCCTATATCTCTGCAAGTTGCTATCAAATCAGCCAAATTTCGATATCAATGATACAAGGCAGCATACAAAGTTTTATCAAATTCAAATTGTATTTCCAGAAGTGTTACAATCAAAATGGTCCCATTGTCAGTCATTCAAGATATTGTCGACATAAAAGCTGCATATCAAGTTTTTAAAAAATCCTCATCAGAGTTATCGTGTTTAGAAGAAAAGAAGTAATCGCATATGTCATATGGTCACTGTCAGCAGTCCCTAGTTGTCTGAAAGAGTGTGCCAGTAGTAAGGGTAAAATTTAATTTGTTATTGAAATAACGAATTAAAGGCAAAACCAACATATAAAATATTTCAATCTTGTCTCTAAACAAATTTATGAAATGATAAAGAATATTTCAAAAATGTTCACTAATCGATCATCATCTCTAACCAGACTTTGAACAACAAAAGGTTGGTGTCTTCACTTCTGGAGGAATTTCTTACATATTTCACATTCATATAAAGAAACATAATATCAGTTTTGGGTCAGAGTACAGACATTATTTTAAGAATATCCTCATCAGCACTCTTGTGATTCATTCAACTCCTGACATTTTGCCATCTTCTTTATTGTGGGGTTATAGGGGTTATAGTCTGTGATGCCTTGCTCTTTGCCTGGTCAGATGAGGAGTTCATCTATTCACCAAGAAAATATACGAATCAAGCTCTTTTTAACATTGTGAAAATGATCTTCAGATGTTAAAATTCCAATAATGTCAACTATCCTAGAGAGTTTTATTTATATACATGTTTATCATCATTTCTGTCCCAGCTGTCTCCCCGATTCAATAATTCACGAAATAAGCAGGATTCCAGATGCTTCCACAAAGAGACCAACAGTTCCACACCATTTAATACATGAAACAGGATTTATTTTCAAGAACTTAAAAACAAACTTCAAAATTTTACAATTGAGAAATTGGAGGGTTCCTCTAGACAAAACTTTTTTTTTAATTTTACGAATTTGCCACAGGAAACATTTAAATACTGTTGAAAATGCTTTTATCTCCCTGAATTTTCCCTGATAATGTACAAACATGAATTTCTCACTTTTTACTGAACCTTAATAAAACTAATCAAAAACATTTAATTCTTTACCCTAATTATAGTAAATAGTAATACATGATCAATGTAATGTCTTCATTCTTCCATTTGGGATAAATGCTCTGACTATTGATGACATCAAGTCTTCTCTTTCAGGTGAACCTAATGCAGCCAAGATTTTCCTGATCGCTTGGTTGCTCCAGCAAGCCTTGTCCTTCATCACAGACAGTTAAAACAAAACAAGAATTATTTTTTAAACGTTTGTTAAACAATAAGACAATCGTTTAACAATATTTTTGAAGTAATCTAACTATAACAGATATTGAGAAGAAAACATACATTAGAGTACTATAACCTGTCATTATCAATCAATAGTCTGCTGTCCTCTATCAACATACTATTCAAATCATCATTAATTGATTATCAAAGGACCTCTTTATCATTGTACCATTTCCCGTCATCGTTGATTGGTGGTTTCCGGTCATCTTTATCGTCGTAGCATTTCCCATCATTGTTGATAATTGGTTACAGGTCCTCTTATCGTTGTACCATTTCCCATCATTGTTGATAATTGGTCCCAGGTCCTCTTTATCGTTGTACCATTTCCCGTCATCGTTGATTGGTGGTCTCGGGTCCTCTTTATCGTTGTACCATTTCCTGTCATCCTTTATTGGTGGTCTCAGGTCCTCTTATCGTTGTACCATTTCCCATCATCGATGAACGGTGGTCTCAGGTCCTCTTATCGTTGTACCATTTCCCGTCATCTTTGATTGGTGGTCTCAGGTCCTCTTATCGTTGTACCATTTCCCATCATTGTTGATAATTGGTTACAGGTCCTCTTTATTGTTGTACCATTTCCCGTCATCGTTGATTGGTGGTCTCAGGTCCTCTTATCGTTGTACCATTTCCCGTCATCCTTGATTGGTGGTCTCCGGTACTCTTTATCGGTGTACCATTTCCCGTCATCCTTGATTGGTGGTCTCTGGTCCTCTTTATCGTTGTACCATTTCCCGTCATCGTTGATTGGTGGTCTCGGGTCCTCTTTATCGTTGTACCATTTCCTGTCATCCTTTATTGGTGGTCTCAGGTCCTCTTATCGTTGTACCATTTCCCGTCATCTTTGATTGGTGGTCTCAGGTCCTCTTATCGTTGTACCATTTCCCATCATTGTTGATAATTGGTTACAGGTCCTCTTTATTGTTGTACCATTTCCCGTCATCGTTGATTGGTGGTCTCAGGTCCTCTTATCGTTGTACCATTTCCCGTCATCCTTGATTGGTGGTCTCCGGTACTCTTTATCGGTGTACCATTTCCCGTCATCCTTGATTGGTGGTCTCTGGTCCTCTTTATCGTTTTACCATTTTCCGTCATCCTTTATTGGTGGTCCGAGGTCCTCTTTATCGTTGTACAATTTCCCGTCATCGTTGATTGGTGGTCTCCGGTCCCCTTTATCGGTGTACCATTTACCGTCATCCTTTATTGGTGGTCTCAGGTCCTCTTTATCGTTGTACCATTTCCCGTCATCCTTTATTGGTGGTCTCAGGTCCTCGTTATCGTTGTACCATTTCCCGTCATCGTTGATTGGTGGTCTCAGGTCCTCTTTATCGTTGTACCATTTCCCGTCATCCTTGATTGGTGGTCTCCGGTCCTCTTTATTGTTGTACCATTTCCCTTCATCATTGATTGGTGGTCTCGGGTCCTCTTTATCGTTGTACCATTTCCTGTCATCCTTTATTGGTGGTCTCAGGTCCTCTTTATCATTGTACCATTTCCCATCATTGTTGATAATTGGTCTCAGGTCCTCTTTATCGTTGTACCATTTCCCGCCATCGTTGATTGGTGGTCTCATGTCCTCTTATCGTTGTACCATTTCCCGTCATCCTTGATTGGTGGTCTCCGGTACTCTTTATCGGTGTACCATTTCCCGTCATCCTTGATTGGTGGTCTCTGGTCCTCTTTATCATTGTACCATTTCCCGTCATCCTTTATTGGTGGTCCGAGGTCCTCTTTATCGTTGTACCATTTCCCGCCATCGTTGATTGGTGGTCTCAGGTCCTCTTATCGTTGTACCATTTCCCGTCATCCTTGATTAGTGGTCTCCGGTACTCTTTATCGGTGTACCATTTCCCGTCATCCTTGATTGGTGGTCTCTGGTCCTCTTTATCGTTGTACCATTTCCCGTCATCCTTTATTGGTGGTCCGAGGTCCTCTTTATCGTTGTACCATTTCCCGTCATCGTTGATTGGTGGTCTCCGGTCCCCTTTATCAGTGTACCATTTCCCGTCATCGTTGATTGGTGGTCTCAGGTCCTCTTTATCGTTGTACCATTTCCCGTCATCCTTTATTGGTGGTCTCAGGTCCTCTTTATCGTTGTACCATTTCCCGTCATCCTTTATTGGTGGTCTCAGGTCCTTTTTATCGTTGTACCATTTCCCGTCATCGTTGATTGGTGGTCTCAGGTCCTCTTTATCGTTGTACCATTTCCCGTCATCCTTGATTGGTGGTCTCCGGTCCTCTTTATTGTTGTACCATTTCCCTTCATCGTTGATTGGTGGTCTCAGGTCCTCTTTATCGTTGTACCATTTCCTGTCATCCTTTATTGGTGGTCTCAGGTCCTCTTTATCATTGTACCATTTCCCATCATTGTTGATAATTGGTCTCAGGTCCTCTTTATCGTTGTACCATTTCCCGTCATCGTTGATTGGTGGTCTCAGGTCCTCTTTATCGTTGTACCATTTCCTGTCATCGTTGATTGGTGGTCTCAAGACCTCTTATCGTTGTACCATTTCCCATCATTGTTGATAATTGGTCCCAGGTCCTCTTTATCGTTGTACCATTTCCCGTCATCGTTGATTGGTGGTCTCAGGTCCTCTTTATCATTGTACCATTTCCCATCATTGTTGACTTGTGATCCCTTCTGCTCTCATCATTGTACCATTTCCCTCAGTTGTGTTGTTAATCACGTAGGATTTTCCTGGATTGGCACTTTTTTATCTGTCAATGAAAACTTACCCTGAACCTTCACTGATATTGTTGTATGTTAAACCCATGTACATTTGGTCCTGTTGTACCATCTCCCTCAATAGTGTTGTTGGTCCTGTTGTACCATTTCCCTCAGTAGTGTTGTTGGTACTGTTGTACCAAAACCCTCAGTAGTGTTGTTGGTCCTGTTGTACCATTTCCCTCAGTAGTATTGTTGGTCCTGTTGTACCAAAACCTTCAGTAGTGTTGTTGGTCCTGTTGTACCATTTTCCTCAATAGTGTTGTTGGTCCTATTGTACCATTTCCCTCCATTGTGTTGTTGGTCCTGTTTTACCATTTTCCTCAGTAGTGTTGTTGGTCCTGTTGGTCCTTTTCCTGGATTGGCACTTTTTTATCTGTCAATGAAAACTTACCCTCAACTGTCACTGATCCTATTGTATGTTTAACCCTTATACATTTGGTCCTGTTGTACCATTTCCCTCAGTAGTGTTGGTTGTGGTGTACCATTTCCTTTAGTGTTGGTTGTGGTGTACCATTTCCTTAAGTAGTATTGTTGGTTCTGTTGTACCAAAACCCTCAGTAGTGTTGTTGGTCCTGTTGTACCATTTCCCTCAGTAGTGTTGTTGGTCCTGTTGTACCATGCCCTCAGCAGAGTTGTTGATCTTGTTGGTCCTTTTCCTGGATTGGCACTTTTTTATCTGTCAATGAAAACTTACCCTCAACTGTCACTGATCCTGTTGTATGTTTAACCCTTGTACATTTGGTCCTGTTGTACCATCTCAGTAGTGTTGGTCCTGTTGTACCATCTCCCTCTGTAGTGTTGTTGGTCCTGTTGTACCATTTCCCTCAGTAGTGTTGGTCCTGTTGTACCATTTCCCTCAGTAGTGTTGGATGTGGTGTACCATTTTCTTTAGTGTTAGTTGTGATGTACCATTTCCCTCAGTAGTATTGTTGGTTCTGTTGGTCCTTTTCCTGGATTGGCACTTTTTTATCTGTCAATGAAAACTTACCCTGAACTGTCACTGATATTGTTGTATGTTAAACCCTTGTACATTTGGTCCTGTTGTACCATTTCCCTCAGTGGTGTTGTTGGTCCTGTTGTACCATTTCCCTCCGTAGTGTTGGTTGTGGTGTACCATTTTCTTTAGTGTTGGTTGTGATGTACCATTTCCCTCAATAGTGTTGGTCCTGTTGTACCATTTCCATCTGTAGTGTTCTTGGTCCTGTTGTACCATTTCCCTCAATAGTGTTGTTGGTTCTGTTGTACCATGCCCTCAGTAGTGTTGTTGGTCCTGTTGTACCATTTCCATCTGTAGTGTTCTTGGTCCTGTTGTTCCATTTCCCTCAATAGTGTTGTTGGTCCTGTTGTATCATTTCCCTCAGTAGTGTTGTTGGTCCTGTTGTATCATTTCCATCTGTAGTGTTGTTGGTCCTGTTGTACCATTTCCCTCAGTAGTGTTGTTGGTTCTGTTGTACCATTCCCTCAGTAGTGTTGTTGGTTCTGTTGTACCATTCCCTCAGTAGTGTTGGTCCTGTTGTACCATTTCCCTCAGTAGTGTTGATCCTGTTGTTCCATTTCCCTCAATAGTGTTGTTGGTCCTGTTGTATCATTTCCCTCAGTAGTGTTGTTGGTCCTGTTGTATCATTTCCATCTGTAGTGTTGTTGGTCCTGTTGTACCATTCCCTCAGTAGTGTTGTTGGCTCTGTTGTACCATTCCCTCAGTAGTGTTGGTCCTGTTGTACCATTTCCCTCAGTAGTGTTGATCCTGTTGTTCCATTTCCCTCAATAGTGTTGTTGGTCCTGTTGTACCATCTCCCTCAGTAGTGTTGTTGGTCGTGTTGTACCATTTCCCTCTGTAGTGTTGTTGGTCCGGTTGTACCATTTCTCTCAGTAGTGTTGGTCCTGTTGTACCATTTCCCTCAGTAGTGTTGGTTGTGGTGTACCATTTCCTTTAGTGTTGGTTGTGGTGTACCATTTCCCTCAGTAGTATTGTTGGTTCTGTTGTACCATTTCCCTCAGAAGTTTTGTTGGTTCTGTTGTACCATTTCCCTCAGTAGTGTTTTTGGTCGTGTTGTACCAATTCCCTCAGAAATTTTGTTGGTCCTGTTGTACCATTTCCCTCAGTAGTGTTGTTGGTCCTGTTGTACCATTTCCCTCAGTAGTGTTGTTGGTTCTGTTGTACCATTCCCTCAGTAGTGTTGTTGGTTCTGTTGTACCATTCCCTCAGTAGTGTTGGTCCTATTATATCATTTCCATCAGTAGAATTGTTGATCTTGTTGGTCCTTTTCCTGGATTGGCACTTTATTTATCTGTCAATGAAAACTTACCCTGAACTGTCACTGATCCAGTTGTATGTTTAACCCTTGTACATTTGGTCCTGTTGTACCATCTCAGTAGTGTTGGTCCTGTTGTACCATCTCCCTCAGTGGTGTTGTTGGTCCTGTTGTACCATTTCCCTCAGTAGTGTTGGTCCTGTTGTACCATTTCCATCTGTAGTGTTGGTTGTGGTGTACCATTTCCCTCAGTGGTGTTGTTGGTCCTGTTGTACCATTTCCCTCAGTAGTGGTGTTAGTCTTGTTGTACCATTTCTATCCGTAGTGTTCTTGGTCCTGTTGTACCATTTCCATCAATAGTGTTGTTGATTCTGTTGTACCATGCCCTCAGTAGTGTTGTTGGTCCTGTTGTACCATTTCCATCTGTAGTGTTCTTGGTCCTGTTGTACCATTTCCCTCAATAGTGTTGTTGGTTCTGTTGTACCATGCCCTCAGTAGTGTTGTTGGTCCTGTTGTACCATTTCCATCTGTAGTGTTCTTGGTCCTGTTGTTCCATTTCCCTCAATAGTGTTGTTGGTCCTGTTGTATCATTTCCCTCAGTAGTGTTGTTGGTCCTGTTGTACCATTTCCCTCAGTAGTGTTGTTGGTTCTGTTGTACCATTCCCTCAGTAGTGTTGTTGGTTCTGTTGTACCATTCCCTCAGTAGTGTTGGTCCTGTTGTACCATTTCCCTCAGTAGTGTTGATCCTGTTGTTCCATTTCCCTCAATAGTGTTGTTGGTCCTGTTGTATCATTTCCCTCAGTAGTGTTGTTGGTCCTGTTGTGCCATTTCCATCCGTAGTGTTGTTGGTCCTGTTGTACCATTTCCCTCAGTAGTGTTGTTGGTCCTGTTGTACCATTTCCCTCAGTAGTATTGCTGGTTCTGTTGGTCCTTTTCCTGGATTGGCACTTTATTTATCTGTCAATGAAAACTTACCCTGAACTGTCACTGATCCAGTTGTATGTTTAACCCTTGTACATTTGGTCCTGTTGTACCATCTCCCTCAGTGGTGTTGTTGGTCCTGTTGTACCATTTCCCTCAGTAGTGTTGGTTGTGGTGTACCATTTCCCTTAGTAGTGTTGGTTGTGGTGTACCATTTCCCTCAGTAGTATTGTTGGTTCTGTTGTACCATTTCCCTCAGTAGTGTTGGTCCTGTTGTACCATTTCCCTTAGTAGTGTTGGTTGTGGTGTACCATTTCCCTCAGTAGTATTGTTGGTTCTATTGTACCATTTCCCTCAGAAGTTTTGTTGGTTCTGTTGTACCATTTCCCTCAGTAGTGTTTTTTGGTCGTGTTGTACCATTTCCCTCAGAAATTTTGTTGGTCCTGTTGTACCATTTCCCTCAGTAGTGTTGTTGGTCCTGTTGTACCATTTCCCTCAGTAGTGTTGTTGGTTCTGTTGTACCATTCCCTCAGTAGTGTTGTTGGTTCTGTTGTACCATTCCCTCAGTAGTGTTGGTCCTATTATATCATTTCCATCAGTAGAATTGTTGATCTTGTTGGTCCTTTTCCTGGATTGGCACTTTATTTATCTGTCAATGAAAACTTACCCTGAACTGTCACTGATTCAGTTGTATGTTTAACCCTTGTACATTTGGTCCTGTTGTACCATCTCAGTAGTGTTGGTCCTGTTGTACCATCTCCCTCAGTGGTGTTGTTGGTCCTGTTGTACCATTTCCCTCAGTAGTGTTGGTCCTGTTGTACCATTTCCATCCGTAGTGTTGGTTGTAGTGTACCATTTTCTTTAGTGTTGGTTGTGATGTACCATTTCCCTCAGTAGTGTTCTTGGTCCTGTTGTACCATTTCCCTCAATCCTCAGTAGTGTTGTTGGTCCTGTTGTACCATTTCCATCTGTAGTGTTCTTGGTCCTGTTGTTCCATTTCCCTCAATAGTGTTGTTGGTCCTGTTGTATCATTTCCCTCAGTAGTGTTTTTGGTCCTGTTGTATCATTTCCATCTGTAGTGTTTTTGGTCCTGTTGTACCATTTCCCTCAGTAGTGCTGTTGGTTCTGTTGTACCATTCCCTCAGTAGTGTTGTTGGTTCTGTTGTACCATTCCCTCAGTAGTGTTGGTCCTGTTGTACCATTTCCATCAGTAGTGTTGATCCTGTTGTTCCATTTCCCTCAATAGTGTTGTTGGTCTTGTTGTATCATTTCCCTCAGTAGTGTTGTTGGTCCTGTTGTATCATTTCCATCTGTAGTGTTGTTGGTCCTGTTGTACCATTTCCCTCAGTAGTGTTGTTGGTCCTGTTGTACCATTTCCCTCAGTAGTGTTGTTGGTTCTGTTGTACCATTCCCTCAGTAGTGTTGGTCCTGTTGTACCATTTCCATCAATAGTGTTGTTGATTCTGTTGTACCATGCCCTCAGTAGTGTTGTTGGTCCTGTTGTACCATTTCCATCCGTAGTGTTCTTGGTCCTGTTGTACCATTTCCCTTAATAGTGTTGTTGGTCCTGTTGTACCATCTCCCTCAATAGTGTTGTTGGTCCTGTTGTATCATTTCCCCCAGTAGTGTTGTTGGTCCTGTTGTATCATTTCCCTCAGAAGTGTTGTTGGTCCTGTTGTACCATTTCCCTCATTAGTGTTGTTGGTCCTGTTGTACCATTTCAATCCGTAGTGTTGTTGGTCCTGTTGGTCCTTTTCCTGGATTGGCACTTTTTTTATCTGTCAATGAAAACTTACCCTGAACTGTCACTGATCCTGCTGTATGTTTAACCCTTGTACATTTGGTCCTGTTGTACCATCTCAGTAGTGTTGTTGGTCGTGTTGTACCATTTCCCTCAGTAGTGTTGGTCCTGTTGTACCATTTCCCTCAGTAGTGTTGTTGGTCCTGTTGTACCATTTCCCTCAGTAGTGTTGTTGGTCCTGTTGTACCATTTCCCTCAGTAGTGTTGTTGGTCCTGTTGTGCCATTTCCATCCGTAGTGTTGTTGGTCCTGTTGTACCATTTCCCTCAATAGTTTTGTTGGTCCTGTTGTATCATTTCCCTCAGAAGTGTTGTTGGTCCTGTTGTACCATTTCCCTCATTA